AGGGCTAGGAATTAGTGCTCCAGAGCAAATGCTGCCTTTTAAAACTGGAGTGGAGAGGTGGTGCTGCCCTCCACGACTCATTTCAGAGAGGAGAGGGAAAGAGGGCTCCGGACTGGTGGAGCAAGTCACACTGACAGCTCTCCAAGGGGGCAGAGGAAGGGTCCTGGGGGGGGGCAGCGGGCCCACAAACTGCACATACATTACTCCGTCCCCTAGGCCAGAATTGGAGAACGATGTCAGGGGCGAGTGAAGAGAATGACTTCCATATTGACAGCACTTCTCAATCACAGGGCCTGGCCCAACGCCGTATTACGGGCTTCCTGAATTGGGCTGGAGTCCAGAAGACCAGGGTTTGAATTCCACCCTACTGGGCCAATGACCTTGGGCAAGGGCAGCTAGATTCCTCTTCCACAGAATGAAGAAACCTCTGGTACCTCTGTCACAGTGTTGCTGTGAAGATCAAATGGAACACGGAGAAGGCCACATCACTCTCCAAGTGTAAGCTATTATTACTGGAGTGTTTTTTTAATTCAGTCACTGAGCATTTATTAAACACTTACTACAGGCCAGGCGCGGTGCTAAATGCTTGGGAGGGAGAACATTTACGTAGCGCCTACAAGTCAGGCACTGTAAGCTCTTTTACAAAGACAAAGGTGAAAAGGTCCCTGCCCTCAAAAAAGTCACCATCACTGATTCTACCAATGTAGGGCACTCGTGCAGGTCTGCAGCTCCCCTACAGTTCTGAGGCACTGAGGGGGTGACTGATTTGCCCGTGATCATACAGTTAGCATGCGTCAGGGGCAGGACTTGAATCCAAGGCTTCCTAACTCCTTTACTCTGGCCGTTATTATTTGGGGAGAATGTACCCTAGTTTGGAGGACATGTATTCTAGGCATGCTCCATTTCACTTTAACACTCTAGGCAAAAATCTGTCCTTAATGGAAGTACCCTCTCTGGGACTGCTCCCCTGCCCTGTGCTCCTATCTAGAGGCCAAGGCCCCACAGGGCAGTCCTGACTATTTCTCCCTTTATGGTTCTGGGATTAACCCTCAAGAGGTGAGTGAGGTTTTTCTAGTACTGTTCCCACTGTGGTGCGTACTACTGGTTAGGCAGAGTCAATTAGCTTTAGAAGTGGTATTGAAGGTGGTATAGTAAGGTCTTCCCCCCCTCCCCTCATACCCCCAAACCAGGGCACATTCTTTCCCTGCATACACCACGTACCTAGGAGAGTGTGTTCAGTCAGTAATCATTTAGCAAGTGGCTGCTATGTGCCAGGCACTCTGCTAAGTGCTGGGGATACAAAGAAAGGCAAAAGCCAAAAGTCCCTTCTCTCAAGGAGCTCACAGTCTGATGAGGAAGACAACATGAAAACAAATACAGACAAACACAATACGTACAGGATAAACTGGAAATAATCAACATTGGGAAGATACTAGCATGCAGAGGAATCAGGAAAGGCTTCCTGGAGAAGGTGGGATTTTAGCTGGGACTTGAAGCCAGGGAAGCAGAGATGAGGAAGGGGAGTATTCCAGGCACAGGGGACATGGGAGAAAATGTCTGGAGATGGGAGATTTAGACAGAGTAGGATGGGAGTGAGGACACAGGTAAGGAACACGTGGTCCACGAGCAAGCTCAGCTTCTGGTTCCTGGGGGTCCTTCTGTCCCGTCACAGAGTGCTTCTGCCTGCCCCCCGGTACAGTCGCTGAGGAGTAGCTCAGTCCGTCTGCCCGGCGCGAAGCCGACACTTCTCTCTGCTACAAGGGCTCACTCCCAGAGGTTGCCGGCATCCTCCGGGGAAGGTCTTTCCATATCCTTCTGCAGGTGGCTCCTGATATTGGCTAGTACCACTCCGGAGTTGACCTGGAGAGCTGGGGGGAAGAGGGAGAGAAACTCTCTCCTTCCATGCTGGCAAAACCACAAACCCTTTAAGCTGAAGCAAATTACCCACGGAACGACATATACAGAGACCAAGTAAACTGTAAAAGATATTAAATGGAAGGAACTTTAAAGTATTGTCTTAACACAAACGACGGCCAAATGTATAAATCCCCTTCCCTAGAAAGCTCAGGAGTCTGATGGGCAGTGACAAGGAGGGAACAGAGAACAGTAAGGAAAGGCGAGGAAGAGCAAGTGGGGGGTGGGGCGGGGAGGAAGAGAAGCAGTAAAAGAAAACCACTTTTCTTTTAAGTTTCTAAGTTTTTAGAATTGAGGGTTTTGAAAAATGGAGAGAGTCCTACCAGAATCCTTGTATGAGACAAAAAGAATCCTAATACCTAAATCAGGGAAAGACAAAACATGGAAAGAAAACTAAAGGCCGTTATCATTAATGATTTTAAACAAAATCCTACCAAACATTATGATTCAAGTGAGATTTATACCAGGGATGCAAGAATGATTCCACAATAAATGTAATTAATCATAACGAAACCCCAAACATCCCCAAACCGTGATCATCTGAGTAGATGTCGGAAAAGCCTCTGACGAAGTACAATCCTCTTTATGCTAACAAAATCCAAAAAACCCTCTACGAAATACAGGCACAGACGGACCATCTTCAATACAATAAAAAGTCTCTGTCAACGCGGATACCCTAGAACCTTTTCCAATAAATCCAAGGATGCCCACTCTCCCCACTATTATTTCACATAGTATTGGAAGTGTTAGCAATAGCAGTAGGACTAGAGAAAGGAATTAAGAGAATAAAGAGAGATAGAGAGATAAAGAGATAACGAGACGACGGCTTACTTGGGAAACCCTGGGGCACAGGCAAAGACACTAACTGAGCCAGCTAATAGCTTCAGTAAAGTTGCAGGCTACAAAATAAATCCTCAAAAATCAATCAAAAATATAATAACAAAACACAAGATGCAATAACAGAAAGGGAAATTCCTTTCCAAATAACTACAAAATGCACGAAACATCTGGGGCTCAGTCTCCCAAGGCACACAAAAGCCTCGTATGGGTTCAGTTCCAAAGCGCTCCTTAAAGAATGAAGGAATACCCTCACCAGCAGGAGGGGCATTCGGTGTTCGTGACTAGGCTGCGCCAATGTAATAAAAACGTCAATGCTACCACAATTTGTTTACGTGTTTAATGCTAAGCCAATTAAATTACCAAGAGGATGCTTACAGAGCCTGATAAAGTGTGAGCACAAAAGCTCTAGAATCTCAAGGGAGAGAGTGCAGAGAAGAAGTACGGCGCGGGGGCACAGCGCTCCCGGAGCTCAGACCGCACCACGAGGCGGCAGTCGTCACGCCGCCAGCATCGGTGGCACGCGGGCGCTTTAGCAGAACAGGCCAGACTGCGGAGACGCACAAACGACAGAATCCCGGCCTCGCCCATCCCCCCGCGAGGCCCCCGACGTGGCCCCAGGAGGAGCGGCGCCGCGCCGACGCCGCAATGCACACTCCGCGGTGTTGGGGGCGGGGACGCCGCCCTCTGCACGGCCTGCCCTCGAGGAGCTGACGATCGAACGCGGGCCTGGTCGCCCTCAGGCCGTTAAGGGCGGCTGGGGACGAGGTTGACTTGGTGCTGGAGGAGACAACCACGAAAAAGACGGGCAGTCGGAAGAGGTGCGTTAACACGCCGCGGCCTGAATTCCGGGACCGCGTCCAGAGGCCCCGCCAGCGCCACCTTCTGGGCAGCCCAAGAGCACGAGCGCTTCGACGGCGACCGCGCAGGCGCCGGAACCCTCCGCGCCCGCCCTCGCCCGCCCCCGCCCTCCATCTACTGCGCAGGTCTTTTAGTACTTTTCCACCCACAGCATTCCAGGCCCCGGCGGTGAGGCAGAGATGCCCGGGCCCCGCTCCACCCACGTCAGTCCAGAGTTTCTTTCTGTCCTAAGCCTGAAAACTACTGCTCTGGGAAGGCGCGGGGTAGCAGGTGAGCGGGGAGGGCGGCTGCTCTGCAGCGCAGCCGCAATGAGGCCCTTGAAACTCTGGGGAGGAGCGCCGAGTCCTGGAGCTGGCCCTTAAAGGGCCACGCACACATTAGCCTGACCGCAGCTCGTGGCCAGATGAGAATCATGCTTATCTTGTCCAAAGCCCCCGTTTTATACATGGGGAAACTGAGGCTCAAGGTCCTCCCCGCTACAGAGTTTGGCTCTGACTTCTGCCCCTCCTGGCCTCAGAAATTAAGGGGGCCTTGGAGCTCATCTGGGGCCCCTGGTTTTATTAACAAAAAGGACAAGTTGGGAGAGTACAGACCCAGAAGGCTTTTTCCGGAAGCTGTAAGACGCCCCATTTCCGACTCCCACACCTTTGCACTGAGCCGTGCCCCATGCCTGGCAAGCTGTCACCTCCTCCCCGTTCCTTGGGTTCCTTTACAGGAGCTCTCTGGGTCTTCGGTCGGTCGGGAAGACCTGAATTCGAAACCAGCCTCAGACCCTTCCTAGCTTTAGTTTCGTCATCTGTAAAATGGGGATGATCTTATATAATAGCGTCGCCTCCAGGGTTGTGGTGAGGGTCAAAGGAGTTAACGCGGGTAAAACACTTGGGACATAGCCTAGCCCATAGTAAGTGCTGTATGAGAGATAACCCGGTGTTTCCCCTGCCTGCCACCTGGAGGGAACCCTGGTTTTACCTTTCTTCCTCTCTTGGCACGAATCCTGGCATGGCCAAGGGCTTACCAAATACTTACTGCAGGATCCAATCTTGCTGACCCTTTCTGGCACACAGCCAGGATGGAAATGAGTGACTCAGGCCGGACCCGCCCCTGCCTTTCCTCCCATTCCTGGAATTCCAGGAAACAGAAACCGATGGGAAGGCACTTGAGGAGGATAATTTTTGCTGGCCTTCGTGGCCTTTCCATTGCATTCCGGGAGTTCTTTATAGCTTTCCCATCACCCACCCCGCCTCTTCAGGCGTATCAGTCCCAAGTTCCAGAATTTCCCCCGTATATGTTGACTCCTTGATCTGTGGAAGAGCCAAAAGGCGGAGCCCCCCCCCCCCCCCCCCCCCCCGGCAAGGCAGAAGCACTCCTCTAAGTCACTCAAAAACCACCTGAGAGAAGGACACTTCGTCATCAGAAAGGCAGGAAAGGACTGGGAGATGTTCTCAGAGCACGATGAGTAGATTAAAAACAAGCAGCCATGCTTCCGGAGAAAGCAGACAATTCACCAGGCAAGGCTGAAAATGGTACGCCCCACTGAATCTGTGCACTGAAAATGAAACTGCTTCCCCTCCAGCAGGGGCCCGTGACATGGCTCAGATCCGAGGTCCTTCCTGCACGTGCAGGGACTCAAGTGAGAATACATGGATCACAGCGTGGAACAAATGGCTGAGTGGTGAGGATCTGTCTGCAGAAACAGAAAGGGCTTGTGCCGGTAATGCGTGGTGGGGCATTACCCCGGAAAGGACAAAGGCTTATCCTTGAGGAGCCCGTCCTTATTGATCAACGTGAGTTAGGCAAGGAAGTGGAGACTGTGCAACAGCATATCACAGTGGCCTGCAACAAATTAGCACCCGTTAAATACCTACCAAGATACAGCCTGGTGGTAAGAGTTATGCACCAGAAACTCGATATCTTTCAGATACAAATGGGTGACAAATGCGTCCTTATTGCAAGTACAGACCTGGAGCTATGCTTAAGAACTCAACAAATAAACTTTTGCAAACCAAATAACCTCTTAATCTCAAAGATACACACAGACAACTTCCAAAAACATAGAAATAAGCAGAAAAAATCAAAACGATGAAGGAACAGATGAGATACCAATCTTCTCCGTCATCTGGTCTCCTCCTGGAATTGTCTGGTGAATGTTCTTGTGGAGTCTAGAGATGAAATTACATCCCAGGATTTTATTCAATCACAAAAAAAGACTCACTTTATCTCCTTGTACAAAACATGCAGAACCATTCAATATATATTAAAAAAATTAACAGCAGGATAACTTGTCCCAGGATTCTTTCTATCCGAATTAAGTTGAAAAAGATGACAGAAACAAGCTAGAATAGCAAGAAGCAGCAACATATCAGTGAAAGCTGAGAAAGCTGAGCATCTTTAAATACCCAGGAAGACACCATCAGGTGGCCAGAATTCAACACCACAGACGTGTTAGCCTCATAAACAGATGACAAATCTGAGACCCTCAAATGTTCTTGAGAATTTGACCAAAAAACAGCCCTGGAACTTGTGCGTTAATTGTCATAGACCACTCTGGGATCATTTGCCCACACAAGCCCAGACATAAAACTGATCCCCCAAAATTGAAGAGACATGTTTGTAACAGATAATCTGTGTGTGGTGGCTGCCAAACAGCATAAGGAGGTTAGGGAAGGAACGATTCATGAGTCTTCGGGGAACAGCAGCATCTCCAGGTCCGATGTATCAGTACTTCGAGGGAGGTTAAAGATAGAAGGAACAGGAAATGTACCCCAACCCACTTACCTCTCCCCTCTACACGCTAGAATCCACACATTCTTGAGCACCAATGATGGGTGAGGCCCTAGGCCCAGCAAAGAGCTGGGATTCTCTCCTCAAGCACAAAGGTGCCATGAGTGAGTACTCTGTGGCTGTCAGGTGCCCTACTGTCCTGAAACCAATGGTTGACACATATTTCCCCTCCACAGAGGGGAGAAGGAACCACTGGGAGCCCTCTGCTGGAAGCTCTTCCCTACCCCCATTACAAAGGAGACCGAAGGCCCTCTGGGCTGCTCCCCACGGCTGCTTGTATTTCCTTAGCCACAAATATTAAGGCTCTGCCTAATTAACTATTTCTTAAGGAGAGTTCCTGCGTTCAACCACAAGAAAAGTCTGGATAAAATCATATATGACAGACTCCTACAGGGTTACTGAAGCTATTTGGGGGCATCCCAGTGTATGGGAGACATTTGATGTCAGGGAGGACAGCCAGACTCTCCCATAATGACTCCTTTGTGACTCTGTCAGAAACACAGGGCTGGAAAGACCAGCTGCTCCCACTCTGCCAGACCATCCAGAAGGCCTTGAGGGCCTCGAAGTAGTTGGGCATGAAGTGTGTTCTATGCTGACCCAGGCCTACTTGGTGTCCTATGTGAGATACAGGATTGCTGGATGTAAGCAGGTTAGTTCTAATGGACAGTTATTTCATAAGTAGTGGCTGAATGAATGTAAGAAGGAAGGAATTTCAGCACATCATAAAGCTGGGTTGTATGGCTGGCATAACATGGGGGATGGGAAGTGTGGGCGGTTAGGATCGCTGCCTCTTTTCAACCCAACTCTAGGCATGGCTCTCCTACATCAGAGTTAGATCTTTCCCACCTGGGGATGGCTTCTTGACTTCCTGGGTAGGGGAAGAGAGACTTGTAAAACTCCACAGAGTTCCTGGAATGAAACAGGTCAGGTCACAATTCTGTGACCCTCAGAACAGAGCTCCTACCATTCCCTATGTGGGGAAAACAACACTCCATGGTCACTATCATGAGCCTGTTTCCAGCAGCTGAACATCTGCCACAGTTTCTGTTTAGTTTATGAGTCTGACACTTGCCAGAATTCACAAGGATGGCAGTGAGTGACTTCTCCTAATGTTACCCTGTCCCCTGCCCCCAACACACTTTGAATAGAATGCTGCCTAGTTACAGCACCCTCCTGGATCAGGGTATCTGTTCTGTTCATTTGTTTCAAGAGCTGCACAAAACTGTGTGAAACCTTCCAGCTCAAGGATGGATACCTCTGATCTAGGCTCTCCTTGCAGTGCCTCTCCTGTCCTCCCCCTTCCCTGTACCGTCTTCACTCAGGAGTTGACAACTTTCTCCAGATAGATTGGAACCAACCATGTTTCCTCCTCTGGATTCCCAGTTTGGTCCACCTGAGTTCTTCTTGCTTGTCCCCTCTCTTTATGATGTTTTCACCCCATGCACCTAGATTTGTCCCTTACTTCTTTCCCTAGGGAAGTGATTTTCCCTAGGACCAAGAACCCATAGCAGTCTTCTCTGAGCTCAGTGTTCAGACACAGGCTAGAAAGGCCTTCCTAGGATTCTGGGTTGTTTGGCTCTTGGACTCACTGGGCTGGTTTTGGTTTGTATTTTTGAGAAACTAATGTCAGATAAATTCTAAGAAAATCAATGTAATGTCAGATGAATTCTAAGAAAATCGATTCATATTTCAGTATCACTAATACTGCTAGCATTATCATAGAAACAACAAAACCCCAAGGATTATTCCAATAAGTACAGAAAAGACCTTCAGTAGAATATAGCACTCATTTATTTTTAAACCCTTACCCAATATATATATATATATATATATATATGCTTACACACATATACACACTTATACATACACACTTAGAACTAGCATTATCATAATGGAGAAAGAGTGCACGCTTTTGATGGAAGTAAAGGGGTTTAGCAAGGATCTTGCCACTTCCTTCTATCATTTGAGGTGGTACCAGAAAAGATAATAACCATCATCCATCTATGGCAGCTATAGAAAGATATACAAAAAAAGGAAGAGGACTGGTAGATATTCTCAGTACAAATGACAAGTAGGTTTAAAACTTACAGAAATACTTTTGGGGGAAAAAAAAGCAGTCAACAACTATTGTGCTGACGAGATGCGAGCCATTTGTTGAAGATAAGCAAAAGTGATTTAGCTCTGGGTGGAGCTAGTGAAATATTTAGGAACTAACAGTGGAATCAAAAGGCCCTCCATGGGCAGTATTCACATCAGTTCAGTCAATGGTATGTTGAAAAAGCAGTGCTGAACAAGTATCTGAAACGTGGGTTCATTAATAGAAACAGGAAAGATTTAGAATGACAATTCTTGTTCAGTTTTTGAATTATAGAAGGCTGTCCTTAAGGAGCTTGTATTTACTGCTAAATATAGAGTAGCCAAGGAATTATTTGAAATATGGTTTAATATACATCACTGCAAGATGAAAATCTTTAGCACCTACTGAATACCTACCTAGCAAGATACCACCTGATGTCTAGAATTATACAACAAAGACCTTGTATCTTTCAAAATTAATATACAACAAATTTTCCTGCTACAAATATAGACCTGAAAATCAGCTTGAGAATTCAACAAATATATTGTTGCCATGACTGCAGATTATAAAACATTTCAAAATCAGGGACTTAGCAGAAGAGATCAAAATCATGTGGGACAAAGATGAGGTACAGGTAACTCTGCATCCCATCTTCTACTGAAATTGTCTTGAGAAGGTTTTCATTGAGCCTACAGAAGATGAGTTCTAACCCAATACTTTTATTCAGTTACAAACACATTTATTCCTATCTACTTGTGAAACAGTTAATAGCTCCTTAAATATAGAATAACAGCACAGTCACAGATCCTAAAATGGTTTCGAGTTGAACTCCACCCCAAAAAATGAGAGCAAGAGAATAAAAACAATAATTATTACCATAAGCAACATCATCAGTGTAGAGGGTAGGGCTGATTTAAGCATCTACAGAATACTTAGAAAGATATAATTAGGAGGCCAGAATAACATGTCAGAGTGTCACTATCCTTCATTAACAAAAAATGACAAATCCCCATACTATAAATGTAGAAAACAAAATATTAATGAGAATTAAACAAATAAACTCTACTGGAAAAAAGAAATGATCTCACATAGAACTCTTGCCTCCAATTGCCTAGCACGAGAACAGGGTTTTTAATAAAAGAGTGGGATCTGACAAGTAGCAAGTGGAGGTTGGAGGAGAAGTAGCAATGCTTTGGAGGTCTTGGGACACAGCAACACCTATAGATCCCATGCTATCAGTCTGACAGAAGCCAAGGAGAGTAAGTATAGGGGGACAGAAGGAAATAAGCATTTATCAAGCTCCATTATGGGCCAGTAAGTGCTTTGCACATACCTCATTGAATCCTCACAACCAGCCTGTAAGGGTAGGTGCTATTGTTGTTCTCATTTTACAACTGAGGAAACTGAGGCAGATAGAGGTTAAGTGACTTACCTAGGGTCACACTGCTAACTCCAGACCCAGCACTCTGTGCACTGCAGCACTACCTAGCCACCATAGGGAGGCAAGGTCGATACACTGACTAGCCCACTCACCTATATCCTCAACCCATTAGTGTCCACACATTCTTGAGCACCTATCTCTCCTGTTTTTGCACTAAGGGTTGTTCTAGGCAAAGAATGGCAAAGATCCAGGACCCTTTAATAAAGCACAAAGGCCCTTGGGAATAGGTGTGTAGGTCAACACCACTGGTTTGGGCTGACAGGATGCAAGAAAGAACTACTGCATCTGTCTTCTTGGCTAGATCAATCCTGCTGCTTTAATGCTCCCTCCTCCCCAGGCCTTTGTGCTGCTTTGCCTGGGGCTGCTTGAGCTCCCCTAGGCACAAAGGATTCTTGCATTGATCTGCAAGAACAGTTTGGATGTTTGTGGATGACAGATCTTGGATCTTGAAACTGCATCAGCGTCTCCCAACGGGTTTGAGTTGGGGGGGACAAGCAGGTTCTCCCACAATTTACCCATTTGTGACACCATCCCTAGGAACAGTTAGGTCTGACCCAGGAAAGGACTGCTTAAGAAAGAGCTCACTGTTAAGTTCCTTCTTTTTTGGACTAAAAGGTCAATATGCTGCTTCTGATGAATATCTATCAAGATGTCAGCTGCAAAGGACAAAGCTCTGGTGAAGATGGAATTGCTGTCTATGGTGATTGGCACAGACAAGCAACAGACCAACAAAAATGATGACCGGTACCAGCTACTCTCAGATAGTAAGACGGTTCAGCAGGCCCTAAAAACCTTGAAGGAGGTGGGCAATGAAGTTCTCTACAAGCTGATGGAAGACTACTTTTTGAACTGTCTGAGAAATGGGATCCCTAGTGGCATTCAGGTGGGTTGAGTGTAATGGTCACTGCATAAATGGTGGCCAGAATAAAGGAATGGACTTTAGGGAAGGACCAAGCAGGCTTGTGGGGCTGTCGTTTGGAACCAAACTGAGCTGGTGCCTAGAAGATAAGGTGTGACCCACTTTCCAAGCCCAGCCCTGGGCCCAGACCTCCTTATTTTAGACTTGGTTTTCCCATCTGAAGGATGGAGTGAGGTCCAAGGAATTCTTTGAATGAAACTTGTCAAAAGCAATGCTTCATGACTCAAAGGCCAAGCTCCCACCAGTACCTACCAGGACCCCTCTGTGTGTGCCCGTGGTCAACACCTGGCCTGGCTCTAGTCCAGTTTTTGAGTTTTGCACTTACGATAACTCATCCGCAGGACTGTGTGACAATATAGGACTTCCTTTCATGTTAACCCCTAATTTGTTTATTACCATGGATAGAATGTTGGTTGGTCCCAAAGGTATAATATGATTTTAGGCCTCTGAAAGGTCACTGCTTTCAATCAGAGTACCCGTTCTATTAATAATTCTATGGATTATATAAGCATATTATATATGTATATATGTAATTGTGGAGTTATATATAATATATAGTATATTGGACAGCTCTGATCTAGATTTTCCTAGCCGTGATTCTCCTTGGTTATCAGATTTCCACATGCAATTTGAGGTGTTGTGGTTCCCCAGGCCCTGCTCCTTTAGTGAGCCAGCCCCCTAAATTATAGCAACACTCAAAAGGGTGAGGCTCCTAGTCTGATGGGGCAGGCTGAAAGGCCCGTGTTCACGTTAATTCTGCTTTGGGAGTTTAGTTAAGAAACATAAGAATATCTTGTGATTACATCTTGTGAGTGAGATACGCCAACAAGAGGTTGGGAGCTGGGATCCTAGCCCTGTGCTAGGAAAAGCCACCATCTCCTGAGTCATTCTAGAGATGTCCTTGAACCCTGATGCTGGGAACCAGTCGACACAAGGAAATACATATGTCTGAGGTTGACTAAAGGAGTTTAGGAGAAGCAAGTTTAAGTCAGTGACATTGAACCTTTAGCAGAATGAATGAATTGTTGAAGATGCAGGCCCCAGTTACATCCAGATGAAATAGAGCAGGGGGAGGCAGGGAGGGCAGTTCCTCCACATTCCTCACAGAACCTATGCTGTTTCCTGGTGCTCCAGGCACCTGAGAGAGCAGCCGGTATCAAAAACAAATCTTCTATGGACCTCCCTCCCTCTTTAGCTCAGACTCTTCCCTGGGGACTCAGAGAGAGGGATCTGCTATTGCGGAATTGCTCCCGTCTGCCTTCACCTGCTCTCAGGTGGCCATTCTAGACTTACTTCCAATGTACTGACCACTCCTCCTCAGTCTCCTTTGCTGGACCCTCATCTAGATCATGCCCCCTCCCCGCAGGTGGTGGCCCTCTTCTCTCTTCCCTCTAGATTACTTCACTTGGTGATCTCCTCAGCTCCCATGAATTTAATTACCCTCTCTATGCTGACAAAACTACCTATGCTGGCCCAGTTTCTCTGATGACCTCCAACCTTGCATCTCCAACGGCCTTTCAGATATCTTAGTCTTAACATCTCCAAAACAGATCTCATTATTTCCCCCCTGGTCCCTCTCCTCTCCTACCTCCCCTGTTACTGGAGAGGGCACCTCCATCCTCCCAGTCCCCTAGACTCATGGGAATCTAGGAATCACCCTAGACTCATCACTCTTTCTCACCCCCCCCCGTCTGTGAACTGTTGCCAGTGTCATCTCTGCAGCTTCTCTTGAACCCCTTCCCGCTTCTCTTGGGCATTCCCACTGCCCTGGTGCAGGCCCTCATCACCTCGAGTCTGGACTATTGCAGTAGCTGTTGGGGTGGGGGTGGGGAGGTCTGTTTACCTCAAGTCTTTCCCCACTCCTGTCCAAGCTCCATTCAGCCACTAAAGGAAAATCCACAGGTCCAACAATGTCACCCTGACCCTCCCCCCACTCAGTAAACTCCAGTGGCTTCCTGTTGTCTCCGGGATCAAATACCAAATTCTGGTCGACATTCAAAGCTCTTTATAACCTGCATCCTCCTGCCTTTCCAGTCTTTTTGCACCTTATTCCCTGACACATACCCTCTGGTCCAGTGCCATGGCCTCTTGGCTGCTCTATGAGCAAAGCACTCCATCTCTTGGCTCTGGGCATTTTCTGTGGCTGCCTCCGATTCCTCTACGTGATTTCCTTTAAGTCACAGCTAAAATCCTGTCTTCTACAGGAAGCTTTGCCCAGTGCCTCTTAATGCTAGGTCTTCCTTCTGTTAAGTATTTCCTAGTTGTCCTGTGTATAGCTTGCATGTATGTATTTGTTTGTTGTTTCTTCCACTGAGCTTCTTGAGGGCAGGAACTATTTTTTTGTCTTTTTTGTATCCGCAGGGCTTAGCACAGTGCCCGGCACGTGGAGGATGCTCAATAAATGTTTTTTGATTGACTGACCCACCTCTGGAGGAGTCTCCTCTTTTCTTGGGGTCTGTCTTCTCTTTTAATGAGCTTTTTTAAAGTCCTGTCCCACTCCAACCACGTGATACTGCCTTGCTTTGGAATGAAGGGTAACTCCAAATCCCCTCAGTCTGTGTGGGCTCAAGCCCTGTCTTTCTCCTGCAGAAGAGGGTGTACGTAAGCAGGATCATGCTTCCTTTCCCTGGTCTTCATTTTGATTTGCCTGAGTTCTTATGATTTATTTCATTTCCTTCAGCTCCCATTAGAATGTAAGCTCCTTGAAGGCAGGGATTGTTTTTTCCTTTCTTGACCTCAGAATGTAGCACAGTGCCTGGCACACAGTAGGTGCTTCATAAATGCTTGTTGACTTGATTCCTTCTCTCCATGATGTGCTCGTCTCATGTCCCCAGATCCACTCATATCTGTTGATTCCTTTCAATGGATGAGGGAGCAGGGGGTCCAATGGAGTCTGGTCAGAACTAAGAGTTCATAGGGTAGAGGGGAGCAGGTTTCTCTACTTACTGGCTTTCCCCACTGCACAGGTAAGAGAGGCCTGCCTAGTGTTCTGGGCACTAGTTTATTTGGCTGTTAGCCTCATTGGCACGGCTTGTAAGCCTGAATGACTAGAAGGATAGGGACGCCTTTGACAGAGATGTGGAAATTCACAAGAAGGGTGGTTTGGGGTTGAAGAAAATGACTTCTGTTTTGGACGTCTTGATTTGAGCTGCCCACAGTATATCTTGCAATTTTGAGGATTTTGATAAACTAACTGATGAAGAATAAAACGAGCAGAACCAGGATAGTAATTTATACAATAGCAATAATACTGGAAAAACAGATGACTCTTAAAGCTACAACAACTCTGAACTCTGAGTCTGTTCCTGATTGTAGAGGACTGAGGATGAAGCATGCTGTCCATTACAAAGACATGACAGGGTGCAGAAGGAAATATGCACAACATATAATAAATGCATATTATATATATTTATACACATATCTCTATATCTATCTATAGACAGCCAGTGAAGGAATTTGTTTTGCCTGACTATTTATATTTGTTATGAATACTTTGTTTTTTTTTTTCAATGAAGAGGAGGGTGGGAAGGAAAGAAAATAGATTTTTTTTAACTTTTTAGGCAGTTGGGGTTAAGTGACTTGCCCAGGGTCACACAGCTAGCAAGTGTCAAGTGTTTGGTCTGAGGCCAGATTTGAACTCAGGTCCTCCTGACTTCAGGACCGGTACTCTATTCACTGCACCACCTAGCTGCCCCCAAAATAGATTTTTGTTCTTTTTTTTAAATAGAAAGTTTGTGGGGTCTTATGGAGGTGAGATGTTGCATGTACTTTCAGATGAAATCACTGCTCTATTGTTTCACTTTGTTATATAAGAACACTTACACAATGAAAGTATTCCATAAATAATTGTAAAAATAAATCATATCAATAAAACTAGAAAAAAGGATATATCCAGTGTAATGTGAAAGTCGTAACATGGCTTGCAGGGAGGTGATAAGAGAAAGTCTCTAGCCTCTTCCTCCTCCCACCTTTTTCCTTTTATTTTTTAAATTCAATTAATTTATTTTGATTTATCAACAATCACTTCCATATGCTTTTGAGTTTAAAATTTTTCTCCCCCTTCCTCCCCACCACCCTCCCCAAGACGGCGCACAATCTGATATAGGCTTTACCTTTACATTCCTATTAAACATTTTCACATTAGTGAAGTTGTAAGTGAAAATTAAAACCAATAGGAGGAGCCATCAGAAAAAAGAAACAAAACTCAACAGAAGAGAAAAACAATAGCAATTCAACTTTCATAGTTCTTTCTTTGGATGTGGATAGCATTCTCTATCATGAGACTTTTGGAGATGTCTTAGATCTTTGCATTGCTGAGAAGGGGTAAGTCTATCAAAGTTAGTCATCACACAACACGGCTGTTACCATGTATATAACCTTCTCCTGGTTCTCCTCACTTCACTCAGCATCAGTTCATTTAAGTCTTTCCAGGTTTTTCTGAAGTCTGCCTGCTCATCATTTTTTATAGCACAATAGTATTCCATTACATTCATATAACACACTTGTTCAGCCATTCCCCAATTGTCAATCACTTCTTACATCTAGACAATCAACAAAATGAGAAAACAAGCCCTAGTGTTGTAACCTTTGGCGATTTCTGAAGTGTCAAGGTTCACATTGAAAATGTAACCACTGGTTCTTTGGGAGCTGGTAGGAGCTGGCTCTTTTCCAGTAGTAACCTACCAAGACACCATAAAGACTTACTTAAATGCAACTATAAAACATTCTTTTTTTTTTTTTTGGCTAGGTAGTGGGGTTAAGTGAGTTGCCCAGGGTCAGACAGCTAGTTAAGTGTTATGTGTCTGAGGTCGGATTTGAACTCAGGTCTTCCTGAATCTAGGGCCGGTGCTCTATCCGCTGTGCCACCTAGCTGCGGCAACTATAAAACATTCTTTACACAAATAAATTCTTAAACGATTGTAGAGATTTTCATTGTTCACAATTGGGCTGTATGATGTATTTTCTACAAAATAAATCAATGTATCTTTTGTTTTTACATAATTTGTTTCCCAGTGTACTCCTCCCCTGAGCTCCAGAGAGTGGTCCCTTCTATAATAAAGTAGGAAGAACTGTTTCAAACTAAACAGCTGGTCTTGCCTCCCTCACAGGGCCATAGTCCCTCCACTTCCGCAAAGAGACGGAGGCCAGTATTGCTTCCTATTTCTTCCTTGGGACCAAGTTTGGTTGTTTCAATCTCACGACATTCAGCTTGGACTGTTTTGTCAGTTTTTTCCCCTTGTATTGTGGTACTCACTGTGTAGGCTGAGTAAAAACATTTTTTAGTGATAACATTTGAATTAATTCACAGAGTGAGGTCACTTTATGGAGGCAAACAGGAACTGCTCTGCTCTGTCATTGTATGCAGGCACAGGGACAATAGTGATAGAGGGCTGGGCCTGCAATCAGAATTCAGATCTGGCCTCAGACATCTAGTGACTGTGTGACCCTGGGTAAGTCACTTTACCCTGTTTGCCTCAGTTTCCCTAGTCTGTAAAATGAGCTGGAGAAACCACGCCAGCATCTCTGCCAAGGAAACCCTAAATGGTTTCATGGAGAGTTGGATATGACTGAAACATGGGAATAACAACAATAATAATTGAGTGGCGGACTGACAGTTCAAACAGTAAGAGAATTCATGAGGAGGATCAACTATCTCAAGGGCAAGAGTTTTTTCATGCCTGTCATCATCCGATCTCAAACAGTATTATTTTTGGGGTCGGAAGTGACCTTAGAAAATGACTCACTCATTTTACAACTAGGGAGACTGAAGGCCAGGTCAGTTAAACAAACTGGCCCTAAGCCACACAGATAGTTAGGGATAGCACCTGAACCCTGGTTCTCGGACTCCTGGGTCAGCACTCTTCCCACTGTAACAGTCTTATAAAAGTCATCAAAATTATTTGGTGTGTTGGTTAAAAAACTAGAACAGCAGATCATTGGCCCAGACCCAGAAGCAAAGGAATGCATTAAGTCAGTGTTTGATAAAGCCTAGAAGTGGAGGGGGAGGAGGGGGAGGTGGGAAGGAGCACCAGTGCACAAGGAAGAAAGAATCTGAAAGTGATTTTGGCAGGAATGAGTGTTGTTCACCCTTCTGCATTGTTGAAGAGGCCCAATGACAATGTCACTTCTTGACTTGCGTGTCAACTGGACTTGGGACTTAAGTGAGGCAGAGCTTGGAAAAGTCAACGACACTGTATTATATATGCCCAAACTGTCACTCCAGTGAAATACAGAAGTTCATACCGAAAAAATTAGAGGACAGAAGGAAGTCTCTTCAATCTGTGGCTAGATGGAAAATTTATAACTAAAAGGATAGAAGAGATAAAATAGCCTTGATGATTTAATAATTTTTTTTAAAGGCATGAAAAAAATCAACAACTAGAGTAAGAAAAGAAATTGGGCCAATCCACTGGAGCTCTGTGAGTCAAATTTTCTTATTCATTTTGAATCATGGAGGCCTCATTGGATCTTTTTACACTAGGATATCTTTGCGCTATTGTCTTGACAGTGCTATGCTGAGGAAAGTAGTCTGTAAACTGTAAAAAGGGCTACTGAAATTCCATTTTTTTTTGTTTTTTTTTTGGCTAGGCAACAGGGTTAAGTGACTTGCCTAGGATCACACAGCTAGTAAGTGTTATGTGTCTGAGGCCGAATTTGAACTCAGGTCCTCCTGAATCCAGGGCCGGTGCTCTATCCATTGCGCCACCTAGCTGCCCCGAAATTCCATTGTTATTAATAAAACGATCATCCCCACTGGTCTCTGCAAAGCAATAAATCAAAAATAAGGAAACTTAAAAATTCATCAGAATGAGTGAAAAGAGTGGTATTGCTTTTGAAAAAGAACCAAGAGGACCTAAGTAACTAATCCAGGTCAGGAGTGAGTGAGGACACTATTCTCATGAAGATGAGGACTAAGTAATTGATAAGTTGCTATGCTTTCCTGTATGTTAGTCATTTTAAAAACGCCTGATGAAAGTCTGAGATGAGGCTCTTAGAATTAAAAAATCTCAGCAGAAGGTACCTCAGAGGTTCAGTTTGTAATTGGGCAGGAACCACCTCTATAAACACTATTAACAATGAATGGTTCTCAGTATTGGCTTGAAGACTTCTAGTGATGGCAACCTCACTACTCCACAAAATGACCCCTTCTACTTTGGATAAGGTCTCACTGTTAGGAAGTTGTTCTTTCCATGGAGACTCAATCTGCCTCTGCAGCTTCTCCCCCATGCTCCCAGTTCTGGCTTCCAGGACTGAGCAGAACAAAGTTAATCCCCCTTTCTCATGGCAGCCCTTCAGAAGCTAAAAGTAAGTTCTCACGCTCCTCCTAGGAGTTCTTCGCCCTAAGCTAGACATCTCTAGTTTTTTCAATCAACTTTTCACGTTCTTGTCTCCAGTCCCCCCATCTTCCTTTGCATGTGGACTAGCTTGTCAAGCGTATCCCTCTTTTCCTTCCAAACTGCTTCTAATCTGGTTCTGTTTTTGGTTTTACAGCGAGAGCCCAAGCCTGGAGACCTTCTTGAGATTTTCCGAACCAACTATTCTTACTGGGCTGTTTATGTGGGTTATGATTGTGTTGTCCACCTGGCACCTCCACGTAAGAAGTTTCTCTTCTGTACCTGTTAGACATGGCTTGGCTGTGTGCAGGCAAGGGGCTGGGTGTCAAGGTGGGGTGGAACATGACACCTATTAGCAGTGGCCAGCATCAGCAAGGTTTCCTGATTATAGATCCTTCAATGGGTCAGGATGCCTGGAGACATGACAGGGTACTGAATTCGGAGGGCACTGAATGTACTTCCAACAGTATGGAAAAAACATAGCTTCGCATTTGTCCTCCCTCCCACCAAATCAACACCTACTGTCTATTGGTCTCTGCTGCAGAGACAAGGAATACGGACCCATACCACAGCATTACATGAAGGCTGGGCCTGGGGGGAAGGTAGCAAGATTACTGTAGCACAGCAACATTTCTAGGACCTGGCGCCATTAGTTGTGGTGGACCAGGAATGGCGCCATTATTGAAGGAACAACCCACCCAGCCATCAGAATTTTTGAGCACTTCTCTACCTCTTTGAATTGGTAGAATAAGAGGCCCAGCTCAGGAGGAGAAAGGAAATGGGGAAGGATTTGAGGCAGAAAGGCTATGGAGTTGGTGCTTAAAGGACCATTCATGACCTTGGTTGACCAGATGCCTACAACAGATGGGAGAAGGAACTGGAACCATTGTGTATCAATGTGGGGGTGTACCCATCTTCTGGCTTGATCAGCTACCCCTTTAAAAAGTTGGTCTGAGGGCCTTTGTGGCATGTGTTTATTATGTCACTGTTTGCACTCCCCTAGAGAAAAATAGTTAAGGCTCTCTCCATAGCAAGAGTTTCATAGTTGACTTGGTTACTGAAGCTGTTTGGGAATATTTCCATGTATGTGAGTTTGATGTTAGGACAGCCAGACTGTCCCTCACCAGTTTCTGACTCTGCCAGGAACATGGGACTGACTGAAGGACTGCTGGGCTTTACCTATAAACAGACTGCTTACAGATTTACTGCACTTATCCTTTTGTCCCCCTTAAATCTAAAAGACCAACATGTTAGTGTTGGTGTAGGCAGCCAGAAGTCAGCCCGGAAGGATACAGCCCTGGTGAAGATGGAACGGCTCTCTGTGGTAGCTGGGAATGACAAATACCAGGTCAATAACAAACATGATGACGAATATCAGCCACTACCACCCAATAAGATTGTCCAAAGGGCTTTCAAAGAGGTGGGCAATGAAGTGTTTTATAAACTCATCCAGGAGTACTTCCTGACTTACCTGAGATATGGGATACCTGGCAGCAATCAGGTAGGTGGTCATAAAAATGAGGCTCTGAACAAATGGTGCGTAACTGAATGAATGAACGAGGATGCTAGCTAGCATTTAATATAGTGCTTTAAGGTTTGTCGAACACTTTGTTATCTCGTTATCCTGGAACAGGTACTATTATTGTTCCTGTGTAACAGATGAAGAAGGAGGTTGAGTGTCTTGTCCAGGGGATCACACAGTGAGGAAGTGTTTTTATACTAAGAGTCTTCCTGACTCTGACTCTGGTGCTCTATCCACCTCGTCACCTACCCACCTGAAAGGATGAATGAATTTCAGGAAATAACAGAGGAGGATCGTTGTGTTTGGCATGACCTATGGGATATTTCTAAGTGGGTTGAACTGAATGGAGCAGGTTCATAATACATAAGGTTTGGCCCATTTTCTCAGCCTGACCCAGGATGTTGCTTTAGACTTTTTTCTATCTGGAAACCTCTTTTTGCCTTCTCGGGTTGAACAAATAAAGCTTGTAAAGCTCCAAGAAATTTTCTGAATGAAACAAATTTAGTGTAATTTTGAGTGACCTCCTAGGGCCAAGCTTTCACCAAGCTCCTAAGGCAAGACCATTTCATCTTTACTACTGTGTGCCTGGTAAAAGGAGCCCATGAACATCTGGCCTGATTCAGTCTATGAGTTTTGCACTTTCTACAATTCATACACAGAAGTGTGGGGCATCCCCGAATGTTAATCTCTAATTTGCGTATTACCATTGATATGATGCCGGTTGGTTAGGGCACCTTCATGTGTCCTAAGGTATAATATGATTTTGAGACTCTGAAAGGTCATTGCTTTCGTTAACATACCCTTTCTGTTCACAAAATTATATAGAAAGATAGATATGTATATATTTCAAATTCTCCTTCCTTTCAAGAGCTACATGGGAACCACAGGAGGTCTCTGGACCCCAAGTTGGACACCTGTGATCTGGATTTTCCTCATGTTTCTCCTGTTTTTCCTCTTCTCTCATTCGTCAGTCACTTGTCATACCCACAGCCTGTACCATCTTCCCTATCTCCAGCTCCCATTTTGGTTAACTTGATCTCTTATGATTGATTCTATTCCCTCCCCTCTCAGTGTGCTGGGGTTGCCCCCTGTTCTCATATCTGTCTCCATGGTTATTGACCCTGGTCTTTGGCTCAGAAAGCCAAGAGCCAAATGCAAACTTGTCAGAGCTGAGGGGTCAGACAGAGTGGAAAGTAGTAGGCAGTGGTATGCTGGTAAATGTTTAATAACCCAGGTCTCTGAAAACCCACTACACATTTTTAAAATTTAATCTGCCTTATTACCAAATCCCCTGCATAACTTTCTTAGGTCTAGACAATCAACCACACAATAAGTCAAGCCCTGATTGGTAGCTTTGCTGATTTCTTTCTTTCTTTCTTTCTTTTTTGGTGAGGCAACTGGGGTTAAGTGACTTGCCCAGGGTCACACAGCTAGTGAACGTTATGTGTCTGAGGCTGGATTTGACTCTAGGTCCTCCTGCCTCTAGGCCGATGCTCTAGCCACTGTGCCATCTAGCTGCCCCTGCTTTGCTGATTTCTGAGGTGTAAATTATCCCATTGACAATTTAACCATTGATCGCTGGTGCTTGTTGCAGCACATTCCAGGTGTCAGGCTTCCATAATGACTAGCCTTCTACTTTCACAGGTTAGAGAGGCCTTCCTAGGATGCTGGGCAGTATCTTCTGGCTTATTAACTTGGCGCCTTTGAAAAATTAACATCAAAATGAATAAAATAGATTCTAGGAAGATTTATAAGAAAAGTGATCTCATATTTCAATATTGCAAATATAATGAACACAATCATATTGGCATAATTAGGTCAATAAATAGAAAAAACCTCCATTTATGTTTTTTAATTAGTTTATTTTTGTTATATTTTGAGTGCCAAGTTGTCTTCCTCTCTCCCTCCTAACCCCACATTAGAGAAGGCCAACATTTGATATAGATATATATATGTGGAACCATACAATACTTCCATATATCATTTCTTTCTCTGGAAGTAGATAGCATTTTCCTTCCTAAGTCCTTCACCATTGATTTGAATAATTATATTACTCAGAGTAGCTTTTCTTCCTTTTTTTTTTCCAGTCATTCACAGTTACTCTTCAAACAGTGTTGCTGTTATTGTATACAACGTTCTCTTGGTTCTACTTATTTTACTCTACATCAGACCATACAAGTCTTTCCATGTTTTTCTAAAACCAGCCTGTTCATCATTTCTTATAGCACAGCAGTATTCCATCAGAATCACATACCACAACATATTCAGTCATTCCCCAACTGATGGGCATCCCCTTGATTTCCAATTCTTTGCTACCACAAAAAGAGCTGCCGTAAATATTTCCTTCATCACCCTGGGAAACAGACCTAATAGTGGTATTGCTGGGTCAAAGAGTCAGCCTCCATTTCTGTTAAAAATCCTAATAAGCAACATAAGAATGGAAAGGTCTTCTTAAAAATATGATAAAAATCTATGTCTTGAACCAAGAGCTAGCATTATTTGCAATGGAGAAAGACCAAAAATTTTCCCAGTAAGGGGTAAAGCAATGACACTCCCTGTCCATACTATTATTTGACATAGTAATAGAAATAACAGTGATAATACATCATTACTATAGCAATAAGATTAGAGAAAATATAGGTATGAGGATTAGCAAAGAGGAAACAAAATTATCCTTATTTACAAGCAACATATTTTATTTATCAGAGAATCAATTAAAAAACAGATGATTAATTACTTCAATAGAGTAGCAGGAAATCAACTCCACAAAAATCATCAGTTTTTCTACGGTATTAACAAAAAATCAATTCTGTTCAATCTCTCTACTAAAAATGCATAAAACAGCTGAGAGTTAACCTACCAAGACATAGTCAGTACTTAAATATCTAAGTATTCAAGGTATGGCTTTCCCTTTCTCAATGAATTGATAAAGAGACTAAATTTTAAATGCGTAAAAACGATCGTTTACAGTACATATCTCTGGGTTTCTTCGTTTAGGTTAAGAAAAAAAAGCAGTATCTCTGGCCAAGAGGATCAACCATACCCACTGAGCCTATGTACAGCAGTCAGTCTATGGGTGAATTTAGACCTGAGGGGTCCAGCATAGCAGTGGAAAATTTCAGTTCTGTCTCTGACGATTTCAGCTGGAGCCAAGTCCCTGAGAGGGAAGAGAGTTTCTCTATCTCTTCCCTTACTTCCACTGACCATGCCACTGGAGAGAAGGGAACAATTTGGAGCAGAGATATACAGGAACAAATCTAGACAAAGTATAGACAGGCCAGTGCAGAAAAACAGCCACCTGAGGATTAGGTGGCTTCAAGGTGCATGACCCTGAACCAGAAAAAAAAAGCTGGTGATAGACTCAAGAAAGGACCTCCGGTAACCCAAAGCTGTCAGTTGACCCTTTGGGTACTCATGAAACTGATTAGTTACATCCAAGCATTTTTGAGTTTGCTGTCAGGGAGGATAATGATACTGTCCCACAAAATGATACCTTTGCACCACTGTCAGAAACTTGGAGCTGAAGGGACCACGGGGCCTGACCCAGGATGGGACCCATATCACCAGCTTCCCATTGGATGACCTGCTTAAGATGGAATCCACTGTAGGCATCTTCTTTTTGGAATGAAAGGCAAATACGCAGGTAGAGTCTCCTCATTTGCACATGAGGGGGTTGGAGCGCATAATCTCTAAGGTCACTTATCAGCTCTACATCTTTGATCCCGTCGTCCTCTGTTAGTCATTGCTGATATTGCATGCATCTCTTACCACCGTCAAATTTCATGTTTAAGCACATTTTCTTTGGATCCCTACAGGTACCTGTGGGAGAGCATGCCCCAGGCTCTGGAAGTAAATGCCCTATACACCAATTGCTCTTACTATACCATGCGGCAAATACTTTTTCTAAAAGCTAATTCACTCTAGCTGAGACTCAAGTCCTCCCGGCAACCTTTCCACTGTTGGAAAGTCTCTCTTTACGTCCAGCCTCAGTCAGCCTCTGTTTTCCACCCAGTCCTGTGGCCAAGCCGAACAAGGCTACCCTTTCTCATGGCAGCCCTTCGGATACTGGCGGTAGGGGATTGTGTCTCGACTACATCTCTCTTTCCTAGTGCTATTTACCAATCTCTTTACGGTCTTGAATCCAGTCCCCTCATTGGCTTGGCTACTTTCCTTTGGGTGTGGACTAGCTTATCAGTCTCTCTCTCCTTCTTCCCAAAAGCTGCTTGTCTAACCTGGCCTTGTTTTTGGTTTTATAGCAAGAGCCTAAGCCTGGAGACCTGATTGAAATATTCCGAAGAGGCTACTCTCATTGGGCTGTTTATGTGGGTTATGGTTGTGTTGTCCACCTGGCACCTCCACGTAAGAAGTTTCTCTCCTTTACTTCTTAGACAGGGCTCAGCTGTGTGCAGGCAAAGGGCTGGGTGTCAAGGTGGGGTGGTTTGCTGTATCTACTGGCAGTGGCTAGCCCTGGCAAGGTTTTCCTATGATAGACCCTTGACTGAATGAGTTTGGGTGATTAGGGGTTTACCCAAGGGCATGGACATACTTGCAGGCCTTCAACAGAGCAGAAAGAACACAGCTTAGCACTCTTCCTTCATCTCCTCTCCTCTTCCTCCTCCCCTACCCCCTCTACATCAGCGTGGGCTGTCCCTTGGTCTCTGCTAGGGGGAGAGAGAAGATGTGGTTACTACATCCTTGCTGACCTGAACTGATCGTGTGCCATCTTCTGTTGACAGACATGTTTCATGTAGCCACACACTCTCATTCCTTGCTGCCACCTTCTCCCTGAGGCTCCCTCCCTCCCAGTAAAGTAAGAACCACACCACTGTTTTTGGTAAAGGGATAGCATTTGCTAAGCCTGGACAAGTGCCCTGCTAAAATTTTTGGAGAAGACATTCCACACTGCTTGTCCCTTGTCTGGTTTGTGCTACTTCAAGCACAGATATTGGCAGTTCTCACACTTATTTATGTGTAAGAATTTAAGTAGATTAATGGATTTCAGAATCATAATTGGGTTACTGAAACCGATTCATTAAATCCGATCATTTTTGAGTTTGCTCAAAACTCAGGGAGCTATTTAGGGAGGATAGTGATAGTCTCCCACAAATGATACCTTTGTGCCACTGTCAGAAACTTGGAGCTGGAGGGACCACTGGGCCTGACCCAGGGTGGGACCACGTCACCAGCTTCCCACTGGATGTCCTGCCTAGGATGGAGTCCACTGTAGGCATCTTCTTTTTGGAATGAAAGGCAAATCTGCTGGTCGAGTCTCCTTGTTTGCACACGAGAGGGTTGGGGCATCTAGCCTCTCCGGTCACTCATCAGCTCTAAATCTTTGATCCTGTGGTCCTCTGTCAGTCATTGCCGATATCGCGCCACTGAAGAGAGAACTGCTCTACGTGATGGTCGGAAGCAACAGGTACCAAGTCAATAACAAGTATGATGCCAGTGACCCGCCGCTGCCGCCCAGCCGGATTGTGCGCCGGGCTTGGAAGCTGGTGGGGAAGATGGTTCCCTACAACCTCCTCCACAATAACTGTGAACACTTTGCAACCCGCCTGAGATCCGGAGTCCCTCGCAGTGATCAGGTGTGTTCTGAAGTAGCAGGCCCCTCGTAAAGCTCGTGGTCGAATGAGTGCAGAGAACAAATTCAGTTCAACCTTTATTAAGTCCATCCTTCCTGCAAGGCGTTGCGCTAGGCAGTGGTGGGCACAGAGATAAAAATGAAGCCCTCAGGCTCTTGATAAAGGACCTCCCATTCCACCTGAGGAGTACATAATAAAAACGTAAACACTCGAGGGAAATGGACCTGACTGTCCTATTGGCTCCCTCCCTAGATTTCTCTTCCTTCTTCCGCAATGCTCCTAGAAAAAGCTGTTGTTTACACTCCTTTATTTCCTCCCTTTCCTGTTCTCTAACTCAATTCTCAACTTCTTGCAGCTGGACTTCATATCTCATTCTTCAACTGAAATGGTTCTCTCCAAAGTCCCGTGTGATCTCCTAATTCCTAATGGTTTTAATCATCATCCTTCTCCACTTAGCCAGTTGACCAACCTCTCCCTGGGTATTTGTCTTCTCTAATTTTGTCATACTGCTCTTTCTTGGTTCTCTTCCTACCTGTCTGCTCTTCCTCATTCTCCTTATCATTATCCATATCCCACCCACTAACCTTGGGAGTGCCCTAAAGTGCATGGTTCACCATTCTCTCTCTCCTCCTCCTCCTCCTCCTTCTCTTCTCCTCCTTCTTTTTCTCTTTCTATCGCCCTCCCACCTTATCAGCTCCCATGAGTTCAATTATCATAGAAATAAATATCCAGCCCTGGTGCCACATCGCCAACTTTCCAATGGGCATTTTAAACTGGATTTCCTGTAGGCATTCTAAAATCAACATGTCCCAAAACAGAATTCATAATCTTTCACTTGAAACCTACTCCTTCCCTATACTTCTGTATATTTATTGAGGGCATCACCGTTATTGTGGTCACCCAGGTTTGCTGTCTTGGACACATCCTAGACTTCTCATCTCCCTTGCCCCTGTGGCTTCCCCACCTCCCCCATCGATCAGTTGCTAAATCTTGTTGATTCTTTCTCCATAACATCTCTCGCATCCTCTCACACAGCCACAGTCTAGTTCAGGGCTTCATCAAGTCTAACTTAGACTATATAAATAACCTCCTAGTCTTCCTGCTTCCAGTTTTTCCCTGAAGCGCATCTTCCATATAGCTACCAAAGGAATATTTCTAAAGCAGAGCTCTAGCCATGTTATTCCCCTGCTCAAAAAGTTCTAGTGGCTCCCTGTTGCATACAGAGTCAAATTCAAACTCCATTGTCCTTATTTTAAAGCCCTTCACAATCAGGCTCCAACGTACCTTTCCAGCCTCATAATATGTTACTCCACTTCCTATACTCTATGGCCATACAAGCTGGCCTCCATGTTATTCCTCACACAGGTCATGACATCTATGGTCTCCATGACTTTGCATGGGCTGTCCAACCTACCTGGAATGGATTCCCTCCTTACCTTTACTGCTAACATTCCCTAGCTTCCTTCAAAGGTCAGCGTGAGTGCTGATTCCCTCCCTCTGCCCACAGCACTTTCTCCTGAGAATGCTGTATATTTGCTTTGTATAGACGTCAACATCTGTACATGCTGTTTTCTGAGGTAGAATATAAGCTTTCCTGATGTCAGGTGTTCTTTCATTTCTTTGTCTTTGTACCCTCAGTGCCTAAAATGCTTGTGGACTGATTGATTTATGGAGAAAACACAAACAAATGGAGGATAAAGAAAGGCCTCTTGAAGGAGGTGGCACCTGAAGGCCTTTGTCTCAAAGTAAGCTAGGGGTTCCAAGAGGTGGTGATGAGGAAGGAGGAAGTGCCTTCTAGACAGTGGAGGACATCTGTATCAAGGCACAGAAGTAGGTGATGGAATCATATAAACCAGGAAGAAAGAGCCAGCCAGTTGGAGAACAGTGGAGGATATGTGATTGGCCAAATTTGAAGGATATTTAAATGTATGAGGATTTTGTATTTTATTATAGAGGCTACAAGAAGTCACTGAGATTTTTAAGTGATTTCACCAAATCAAGGGAGGTGACATGGTCACATCTGTGTATTGGGAAAATCAGTTTGGCAGCTGTGTGTAAGAGAAAGAGGGTAATACCACTTGAGGCCTGAAGACCAATTTAGGGGCCCACTGCGGTAGTCCAAAGTGAGAGATGATGATGGCCTGAGCACAGCAAAGACTGAGTGAGTTCAGAGAGCTACTTCAGAGGTAAAATTAACAAGATGACTCCAGGAGGGACCTGAGGGAAAGGGAAGAATTGAGGAGGATACCAAGGCTAGGGACTCAGATGACTGGAAGGATGGTGATGCTCCAAAAGCAACAGGAAAGTTAGGAAGAATGGTGGATATAAACAGATGATTAAATGTATTTCAGGAAATCATGGAGTAGGTTATATGTAGCTGTTTGTAAAGCCCTCCAGGATATTCCAAGAAGTTAGACCTCATAAGGGCATTTGAGGACAAGAGATGTTGTATTCATTGCCTTAGCATGACCTTGGCTCTAGACCTTTTAATTCATTTTTCCCGTCAGGGTGCTGTCCTTCTTTCCTTGGTAAAGGAGCTGTTGTGTATAAATCTCTGGGAAGTTCTTTGAATCATCCCAGATTGTCACTGTTTGTTTAGGGTAGACTGTTCCATGGCCTCTTTTGGGAACATGCTTCTCGCAGCTTTCTGACCCAGCCAGATCACATCGAGAGTATTGTCCTGGACAAGTACATTTTAGGGACTGCACTGGCAAACAGAGTATATAGGAGAGAGTGACCAGAACAGGGAAAGGCCTAGAGCCTATGGCCTATGGAGATCAGTTGAAGGAATTAGGTGTTTAGCCCAGAGAAGAGGAACCTCAGACCTGGTGTGATAGCCTTCTGAAGTATCTGAAGGACTGTCCTCAGGAAAAGAGGTGTTGGAATTGTTCTGTGTGGTCTAAGAGGAGCCATGGGCGGCAGCCGCAAAGAGGCAGATTTCGGTTGGATGGAAGGAAGACTTCCCAACAGGTCCATCTTATCCCTTCATGGAATGGGCTGTCCTGGGAAGCAGCACACTTTCTTTTGCTGGATACCTTCAAACAAAGACCTGATGACCACTTGCAGATGTACTGTGGTAGGGATGAGGGGTAGGGACTGAAGTAGATGACTCCTGAACTATCTTTCCCAATTCTGAGATTCTGTGCAGTCAGCACTAGCTTCTTGGTACTTGTAAGCTCTTAATTGGCTAGAATTTACACCCAGGGTCACAGACAAAGGCTGGTAATGAATGATTTCAGCAAACAATGAATTTGTGGATTACTTGGATAGAATGCTGTTTGGTTAGAACACCTAATCAGACCTAATTTAGGTCTCCCTAAATTATGATATCATTTTAGGACTTTCAATAATAGCCTGTACACTGTGGGTGGCGCAATCCCCCTTTCCAGCTTCTCTTGTTATTAGAGAAGTCCTTGGGCTATACAAATCGACCGTTTCAGATCTAGATTTTCCTAGCAAGGCCCCTCGTCCCCTTCTTCCTTGCTTTTCCTCCCCAGCCCCAGGAGTTTTCAGCTTTAAATGCCTACAGGTTGTAATCCTGTTTCCTACCCACAGTCCCAGCTTTGTTTATGCTAGTTTTTCTCAAAGATTCTATTTTTTGCACTCCCTGTACAGTATGGTTGCCCCACATCCATAGGCTGGCCCCTACTTAATACTGAGCTGAGTGTTCAGGAGAGTGAGGGGGAGCAGGCTTCCACCCTGATGGTCCTCCCTTCTCTGTTCACAGATCACGAATGCTCTCCTGAAATTGCCGAGTTTGGCTGTCAACCTCATGGAACTCATGCAATAAGAAATAACTTCAAGAAAGAGGAAAACCAAATGATGAAAATAAAATTCACGAACAAAGTGAACACACACACACACATGAGGGAAAGAAAAAGAATTATCAGAACCTTCTATACCCGGTTATGTCCTAGCAAAGCCAAGAATTTTAAGCAAATGTGGATGATTACCTACAAAAATCTAAAATGCCCACATTTACCAAACAAGAACTAGAGGTCTTAAACAGCCCAATATCATACAATAAAACTGAAAAAACCATAAAGGAATTACCAAAGGAAAAAGCCCCCAAACAAACACTGGTCTAGATAGATTTACAAGTGAAATTTATCAGATGTTTACAGAGAAATTACCTATGCTACAAAAATTATTCTCTATAATTGAGAAAGTACCCTAACTCCTCAGAGATAAATATGGTCCCAATACTGAAACCAGGGAAGGCTAAGCAGAGAAAGAGTGACCAATATCACTACTGAATACTGATGAAAATTGTTAAATAAAATAATAGTGTAATGGGGGGATGCAGAAGGAGGAATGCTGATTGAGGGAAAATCACCCTGATTAATTTATTAGGTACCATAGTGAATAGAGTTCTAGACTTGGAATCAGGAAGACCCGAGTTCAAATCCAGCCTCATACAACTATATGTATGTACACATAGTTGCTGTGTGACTCCGGACAAAACACTTAACCTCTGTCTTGTCTCAGTTTCCTCACCTGTAAAATGGGGATGATAATAATAGCACTTACCTCCCAGGGTTGTTGTAAGGATCAAATGAGATAATATTTGTAAAGCCTTTGCAAACCTTAAAACTAGATAAATACTAGCTATTGTTATTATTGGATAAGTCATTCTCAATCAACTTGATGAGACTACAGGGTCTGGATCTTTGTCAGAAGCTCAGCCCTATCTCCTTGTTGAGAGGAGACAGGGAACTTCCCTCATGTGGTCCCCAGTGAATGGAGCTGCCTCCAAGATGACTGATGAGCCTTGTCACAGGAGTTAGGTCCTCTGTGGCATATAAGAGCGACCTGGGGAACCTCCCATCCTTTTTCTTGTCCTGACCTTTCTCTCTCTCAGATTTCCATACCAAAGTGCACAGTTATTGGAGGGGGATATTTCCCTGTTTTTTCTTCACCACCTTCCTCCTCCCCCCACCCCCTACCCCCAGAAGAAAACTGCTACTTGCAGGAGAAAGACAAGCCAAAGCAGTCTGGGTTTGCCTTGGGGAACCTGAGCAGGGCATTTCTAGACCCAGGCTTGTCTGCCTCCTTCTTTCTGTTTTCCCTTCGGAGCACAGGCGACGATTGGCACTTCTAAGAATGAGGATTTCTAGGCTTGAGGGTTACTTTATGGGTAATCCTGAGTTTGGGAGTTTTCAAGTTAGGGAAACTGAGCTCAAGAATCAGGCACCAGCCTCCCTAAGGGAGAAGATAGGGATCTGGGACAGAAGCCTGCCCTGTGGCTGACGGTGTACACAAGCCCTTGACAATCCCTTGGGTATTATACTAGAGTGCTGATGGTGCAGGTGTAAAAGGAGTGGGGAATGTTTGTTATTCAGCCCCAGAGTGTCTTTACCTTCTAGGCGGGCCCCCAAGGCCCAGGAGACCACAATGAAGCAGACTGGACTCACTTAGACCAGGGCGCTTCCTTCTGGGGCAAGGGGGAGAAGGAGCTGGGCTGAATCCAAAAATGGCCAGAGTCTGTCTCAAGGCCTGCCTCAACCTATGTCCTTCCAGGAAAAGTGTTGAAAACAATGCTTAAGTATGGTTCATATCTAGAGTTTTCCCCAACAGGTGGGTATCAGAGACCATTCCCACAAAGGTACTCAATGTTCAATAGGGATACTGGGTATGGGACAGTCTTAACTTCACTTCACAGAAAGACGTGCATGTGCACAGAAAACAAACCATCTCTAATAAGCCACTTAACTACTCCTGGAAGGTAAAGACAGGTCTGTGAGAGGGACTGCTGAATTAGGCTCTTTTGCACTCACTTTGCATCCACACTTGCCAAGTAACTTGTGAGACCCATTCTTTCGGAATATCACTGTAGCAGCTGAGAGGAGGAGGGCTTGGAGACTCGAAACAGTTAGAAGGGTACTGTGGCAGTCCAGACACGAGGTGACGAGGGCCTGCCCTGAGATGGCAGCTCTGGGAGAACAGAGTTGTTGTGACAGCAGAAACAAGAACTGGCTGGATATGGGGGGTGAATGGGAGCAAGAAGTCGAGGATGACAGGGTTTTTTGAGCCTGGTTTGATGCCTAAATCCTACACTCAGAAACTCTTGACCCACAAACTTCTGTTCCTCAGAATCACCAGCAGCTGACCTCAGAAAAGGAACTAAAAAAAAGGCCGAAGAGGGCAGCTAGGGATTCAAGGTCCAGCTTGCAGTTGCTATGGACTTCTGCTGCAAGCTTCCATTGCCTTGGAGAGATTAGAGAGTCGGGAGGGGAGGAGGAAAAGTCCCAGAAAGTCTGTACATCTGAGGAAAAGGAAGTACTGGAAAAGAACTGCGAGTTAAGAAGTCGTCAGGCATTTCTTAAAGTGACAGCTATGTGTGTGCCAGACACACGTGCTAGGAGCTGGGGATACAAAGAAAGGCCAACAAACAAGCCCCAGTCCTAGCTCTTCAGCAGCTCACCCTCTAATGGGTCAGACCAGAGGGAAACAACTAAGTTCCCACAAGACGTATAGAGGATAAATCAGGCCTAGTCTCTGCGGGAGGTCGCTGAGATTCTTGAGAAGGACCGGGACAGGTTGCTTCCAGAAGGCGGGATGTTAGCTGGGACGTGAAGAAAGCCAGGATGAGGATGGAGGGGGTTCCAGGCTTGGGGGGGCCGCCAGCGAAAACGTTCAGTTGGAAGATGGAATGTCCTGTGTGAGCAACAGTAAAAAGGCCTTTGTTTCTTGGATCAGAGAATACATGGAGGGGAGTAAAGTGTAAGAATGTCGGACAGGTAGGTGATAGCGAGGTTATGAATTTTATATTTGATCTTGGAGGTAATGGGGAGCCACTGGAATTTATTGAGTTGGGGGGAGGGGTGACATCAGACATGGGTTTTAGAGGAATCGCTTTAGAGGCTGAATGCATTATGGATTGGAGTGGAGAGAGACTTGAGGTAGGCCGACCCCCAGCAGCTGTCACAGTAGTCCAGGTAAGAGGTGATGAAAACCTGTACCAAGGGGGGAGGCAGAGTCAAAGTAGAGAAGGGAAAGTATTTGAGAGATGGTACTATTGTAGAAAGTAAAGCAGAGAGCCTTTTGTGTAGAATAACGGAAGCAGGAGGACCTCCTTCAGCATGGCCCTGGTCCGTAAGGATCAGAGTGACTCAGTGCTTCCTAGCATGGCACATTGTGCCCTCCTCCATGATGGGTTCAACATCCAGGTCCAACTCCAAGGGACAAGACTCCAATCTACAAAGGTCCCCGCCCTGTAATCTCATCAAATGAACATCAAGCCAGTTGGGGTGCCCTTATCTTCTTCCCTGGTCAATTATTCCAACAAATCACTTAGGGGGCTTTGGGCACGGTAGTTCATCCCTCCAATGGTGGATAGTCTTCTGGGGACCTGGACAGCCTCCCCCATTGTCCTTTGGAGAGCATCTCACCAGGACCTTGACGAAAGGGTCTTGGCACAATCCATATAGCATAGTGATTATAGTAGGTTTTTTTTTCCTTGTTTTTCACTTTTTACATAAACATAACTCTGAGGAAGTGGCCTCCTGGGTGTCATTCAGAGAGTACAGGCAAAGTCTACTTAGTTCTTAGATGAACACACACACAAATTCAACAAGCAAACATTTTACAAAGTTCTCCTGAACTGCCTCCTGCCTGCTGCTTACAAGGGCTCAACCGAACCCAGAGCAGCTAGAAAAGAACAAAATTAAAATAACTAGCCATGGCAAAGAATAAAGGGAAAACAAAATTCAGGTTCCTCCACTTAGAGTGCAAGCACAGTCCCAGACGAGGTCCCAAGGCACATATGTGGAGCTTTAATCAACAGGGATGTGATACCAGGGGCTGACTTGAAGTCACCTGCGCCCAGCACAGGCAGGTGACAAACTAGCCCTCCTGTATGAACATTTCTCTAATTGGTCCCTACAACCACAGGTCAGCCTATATGTTTCTCAAATGGATCCCTGCAAATGCATAGGGCAACCCAGACTGAGGTGGGCACCAATATCTCCTGAAACACTTAGGGAAGTCAAAGCATTTCTCTAATGGATCTTTGCAGTATGAAGGGTCATCCAAACGAGGTTTGGATTCACTTCATGCTAGGACAAGAAGGTGAGCTCAAAAGGAAACTGAACAAACTCACAGAAGGCCCAAGATGTACGTGGCTTCCAAAAAGGGATTAATTAGAAATCAACCCCTCATATCCCCAAGTCCCCCCAAAACGTACTTGGTTGTCCCTGATCAAACACCGAGGAGTTATTCCGTAGAATAAACAAAGTAACAATACTTACGTGGAGGAACAAAATGCTCAGAAGTTGCTGGGAGTGATAAAAACTAACATAAAGGATGCCTTAAACTGCATTACAATTAGCAGTCATCCTTAAAATAGTTTAGTATTGGTTAAATTTACAAGAAATTAAGAAACTCAACTCTGTGCCATTATAGTGATAAAGCTTGACCCTGGAGAAGAGTTGAGAAAATGCTCTTCCCTGCTCTCTCCGCAAAGGTGGAAACTGTGCATACAGAACATTGGTAAGCTGTGGGTGTGTTGGCAGAGATTTTGAACTTTTTTCTTTTACAAAAACATCTTTGTTGTGGGATAGCTCCCTTAGTGAGAGTAGGAGAAGGATGTGTCCCGAGACAAAGGTGACACAAAATCTAATGACAGCAATGAAAGTAGCATCTAAAAATGATTTGGTTTTGGTTAGAATAGGACAGTAATTGCTAAGTAAGGCCCGGGAGCAACAGAACTTTGTAGCTTACTGTTTGATAAACTTAAGAACACAAACTACTTCCTATTCAACAAGAATCCAGGGGAAAACTGGAAATCAGTTTGGCAGAAATTAGGTTTCCACCAATAAAACTTTAGACTATATGCCACCAGGCTCTAAATGAATGTTGTCTACATATAATAGTCACAGCGGAAAGACACTTAGAGGAGATGGCTTTCATTATTAAATGGTTGAGAGAATAACTAAATAAGAGATAAATAAGATCATAAAAAGATAATTAAATGTAGAAGTCTATGCATTATGATTGCATATGCAATACCTTATATCAAATAGCTTGCCATCTAGGCGAGAGGGGAAAGGGGAGATGTGAGAGAGACAGAGAAAATTTGGAACTCAAAATGTTAAAAAACGAATGTTAAACATTGTTTTTGCAATGTAATCAGAAAAAATAAAATATTATTTTTAAAAGTACATGCATTAAGAAATGAATGCTACTAGAATAAGAAGAGAAACTACAGACTGTAAAAAAAACAAATGCAAAACAAAAAACCCTTGCCTCATTTATCTCTTACAGAAGTCTGGCATCTAATTTATAATGTGTCCCAAAAGTCTTAGTACAGTTTTAAGTTTTAATAAACTTCAGAAGCATAAGTGCTACAAACACACACAAAAAAATCCTAAACATCATTTGAAAGTTTATTTTATACTAACTTAATGTTTTGATTTTTGAATAAAATTTTTTAAAATTTTAACAAGATGGAGCATCTAGTCGTTATACACTTTGTGGGCCAGGCAGTGGAGTGGCAAAGGCCCTCTTTCTCAGCAGGCTCAGTCGTCTGATTTATTTATCTCCATTAGACTTTTTCTTGTTGAGTCATATTAAAGCTGTTCTGGATGCACCCAAACCTCGTTCTTTGGATGATCTTAAGGCAAGCAGTGGCTGATGAAAGTTTTTACCAAGTTCAAGGATCTATTAAAGTGCTGTATAGCACAAGGCGGTAGCTATTCTGAATTTTAATAAGAAATATCGGTATTTTAACATGTCATATCATTAGCCGTTCTAGTGCCTTCTGTTAGTTCATAGCTTTTGATGCTATTAAAGCATTAAGACTTTTGGGATACCATATATATGTAAGACTGATGTACGCATTTAAGATCAAAAGCCATTCTTGAATAAATAAGGAATGAAAAAATATGAACGAGAAATTTTCTGAAGATAAAATGCAAACTATCTACATCTGTTTGAAAAAAGGTTTTATCTTCACTAACAGAAAAAAATGCAAATGAAAAGCAGTCCTGAGGGCTTACCTCTTACCTGTACAAAGTGACTGAATCACAAGCTAGGCCACACTGCACCTGGTGGAAAACCTCAGGCCTGCACAGAATCCACAAGTCAACCTTGACCTTCTGCACGTCCACCTTCATCGAATGAAAGGAGCGAAGTGGTGTTCCTCCTGGGCACTGATAACCCAGCCTGGCATCATTCCCCGCTCCTGCTCCCCGAGTGCCTGTGACTTTGTATCCCCAACCCCTGCTGCCTGCACTCTCATCCTGAATCACCTCAACCCCTATAATGGCCTATTCCACACCTGCCTGCCCCGTCTACTGAGCCCTTTGAGACGCCCTTTCTATAAAACTAACAAACTTTGCTTTGTTTTAGAGCTCTTCTTATGCTCCTTCCATACAGTGTGTTTCACTGAAACCTGACTTCCTTCCAGATGACACTGCATCCCTGGCTGAACCTTCTCTCCCACTTCTAAACCACTGGTCTTAAAGGAGGGATTGAAATAATCTTTGTATCCCTACTGCCCTTTCCAGATTTTCCTTCCATCATCATCATTTACCAACCTCTCCTCCTATGAGGGTCACACCATCTAAATGTTATCCCCCAGTCCAGATTCTGGTGGCTGTTAATTATCTGGCCCCAGGGCATTCTTCCTCCTTTCTCAATTAAGTTCAGGGCCTGGCTCACAAATCTCCTTTTCGCTCCAACTCCAGCCCTCACACCAGCAGACTTCAATATACATGCTAATGTTCCCTCCAATGCCCTAAGCTCCCAGTCCTTCAATTACTCAACTCTTGGCGACCTACTAATCTGCTACACCTGGGGGATAAGAACCATCCATTTTGATCTCGCCATCTCCCAAAAGTGTTCTTTTCTATGATCAAGAACTCTGACATTTACCTGATTAAAATCTATTTTTCCACCCTTTCCTTTGCTTTACTTTTCGGAAACCTCATCCTCATCCTTCACCGTCTGGACCTTATCCAGCCCTACAGCCCCCTAGTCCTCTTCTGGGCTTTCACCTCTTTTCCTGGCTGCACTTTTCTTCCTTTCCAAGGTCAACTCCTTAGGAAACCAGTCCAACAGTACATTCTCTGCTCTCCAAGCCTTGCCTTGTAGTGCTTGAACCTTGTCAAACTCCAACCGTGGACTACTCCCACCAGCCATCTCCTCCACTCCTGGTCATGGGCTGCCAAACAGAATTCCAGTAAGTCATGAAACTATTTTAACTGGGCTCACTACAAATTTATGTTATTTGATCTCCAATGGGCTTTCATTGTAGCAAGAAAATCCTTCAACTTCTTAATTGATTCTCTATCCTACTAAATATAGCAGCTGTTCTAAGACTTTCTCTTCCTCTCCTTCAGTCTGTGTGTGTGTGTGTGTGTGTGTCTCTCTCTCTCTCTCTCTCACACACACACACACACACACACACACACATTTTCTCTCTCTCCCCCTCTGCTGAGGACCTCAGCCTTATACTTTACATCTCAAATTCCCTCTTCTCTATCTTCCTCTCACAACCCTCTTCTCATCTACTCTTGATATAATCTCTTACTATTTTCTCCTTTACTGTAGACTCTGATTAGGACTAGTGGCTCTTCTCATCAAGGACATCTCCTCTACACACGCCTTTGATTCCATCTCCTTTTGTGTTCTCCAACAGATTGCTCCCACCATCATCCCCACTCTATAATCTTTTAAGCTTCTATCTGCTGGTTCCTTTTCTGCTTCCTACAAATATATCCAAGTATCTCCCATCCTTTAAAAGCACCCTACTGGGTCCTCCCATCCCCACCAGCTAGCAAACTTTCTCTCCCCTTTCTCAAAACCCTTGGAAAAAATATTTCCATGTGCTGAATCTATGGTCCTCTCTCCCCCACCTCTTTTAAACCTTCTGCAACCCTGACCTCATCACTTTTTCCAAATCTACCAATGCCCCTTTAATGGTAAAACCTAATCTCTTTTCAGATCATCTCCACGCCTAGAATTCTCTTACTCCTCCCTCTGCCTTTCTGAATTCTTGATTTCCTACAAAACTAAGCCTGACATCTTCCACATGAAGCATTTCCAGCTGCTAGTACCCTCCTTCCCCAACTACTTTATATTCATCTTGTATATAATCTTCCTATATTTATATAAGTACCTGTTATTAGGATATAAGCTCCTTGAGGGAAGGAACTGTTTCATTTTTTTGTCTTTTGTCTTTGCATCCCTAACACTTAGTAAAATAATCAGCACATTGTACCAGCAATAAGTGTTTTTTGACTGACTTTTCCTTGAATTCTAGTTTACCAGGTTTTGATGATACCCCTCATATATTTTAGACCAACTTCTTAATCTAGCTGTATCTTTTGCCTGGCCTGTAAGCAATGTATTGATGAGTTTTGTTTCTTGATTAGTTTTTTAAATGAGTTTTTATTAATATCTTTTGTTATTTTATATCCCCATAATTTTCCCCAGTATCCTTCCTTTCCCTCTCAGGGAACTATTTTATATGACAAATAGTATTTTCTAAAGACAAAAAAAAGAAAAACAGGAAATCAGCATAACTGATTGAAAAAGTCTAAAACATGTACAATGTACAAGTTTTGTGGGCCTTCTACCTCTGCAAAGGGGTGTCTTCTTATATGTCTTCTTTCAAGCCAAGCTTATTCTTTATAATTTTTCAGCATTTGCTTTTGATTTTTTTGTGGTTGTTTTTTCCATCTACATTGTTACAATTATTGTATATATTGTTTTCTGGGCTCTTGGTTTACTTCAGTTTTCATCATTTCATGTCAACACTTTTTTGCTTCAATAAGATAATTCAGACCATTAACATGTATTATTTTAGCCTTGTAATTTTGTCAGTGTGGGGAAGTGTTAGAAACTCCCTCAGACAATGAAGTTTGACAACCTATCTGTAATTAAAGTCTTGGAGAGTTCTTTGTGGGTACTGATTGGTTAATCCTTTCATATCAAGAGGAAAAGTGACTGGGAAGTTAAATGATACTAGCATGTGTTAGAATTAGGAACTAAAGCCAGGTTTTTCTTAGCCAAGGGCTGGCCCTTCATCCACTACCCTATACTGCTTCTCATATTTACTGTTAGAATCAATATTTTTTTCTTTTTTTAAACATTTATTTATTTTTAGTTTTCAATATTTACTTCCACAAGATTTTGAGTTCCAAATTTTTACCCCATCTCACCCCTCCCCCCACCCCAAGATGGCATGCATTCCCCCTTCTCTTATCCCCTTCCCCTTCTATTTTCCTGTAGGGCGGGATAGACTTCTGTACCCCATTTCCTGTATTTCTTATTTCTCAGTTGCATGTGAAAACATTTTTTTTAGACATGTGTTTTTTAAAACTTTGGGTTGCTAATATTCTCCCTTCCTCCCTCCCCACCCACCCTCATTGAAAAGGCAAGCAACTCAATACAGCCATACATGTGCAGTTATGCAAAACACTTCCATAGTAGACATGTGAAAAACTAACTCTATTTCCCTTAATCCTATCCTGCCCCCCATTTATTCTATTCTTTCTTTTGACCCCGTCCCTCCTCAGAAGTGCTTACTTCTGATTACCCCCTTTCCCAGTCTGCCCTCCTCTCTATCATCCCCCTGCTCTCTTGTCCCCTTCTCCCCCTATTTTCCTGTTCGGTAAGACAGATTTCCATATCCAATTGAACGCGTATGTTATTGCCTCCTTAAGCCAGATCCTATGAGAATAAGATTCACTCATTCCCTCTCACCTTCCCCCGTTTCTTCTCCACGGTAAGAGCCTTTTCTTCTCTGTGTTTTTTTTTTGTGAGATAATTTACCCCATTCTACCTCTCCTTTTCTCCTTCTCCCAATACATTCCTCTCTCACCCCTAATTTTATTCTCCAGATAGCACCCCTTCATCTTCACCTCACCCTGTGCCCTCTATCTATCTATCTATCTATCTATCTATCCATCTATCTATCTATCTATCTATACATACATACATGTAATTTTCCCCCTTCCACTACCCTGATACTGACGAAGGTCTCATGAGTTACAAATATCATCTTTCCAGGCAGGAATGTGAACAGTTCAGCCTTAGCCAGTCTCTTATGATTTCTCTCTGCTGTTTGCCTCTTCATGTTCCACTCGAGTTTTGCCTTTGAGCTGTTGGCTCCTTTTTGTTTCCTTCCTTTCTGGGGTTGTTATTGTTTCTCCACAAAGTCCTACCTCAATTCCCACAGTATTTTAGAGCAGAATACAAACAAGGGAAGGAAGCCTGGCCCCAGCCTGTCTTGTGCATATGCCTCCCCACCCACACTCCACGTGCCTGCTCCCCCCTTACCTGCCCCCCCAGAATCGACCTTCCTAGACTAGCTCAGCTGTCTCCTTCTCTTCCTGATTGCTCCCCCCACCCTCGGGTGGAGACCTGCACTTATTGATGGGGGTTTCTTCCGTTCTCCCCCATTAGATGCAAGCCCCGCCCCCAGCAGGGGTTACTTCGTGGTTGGTCCCTCCACCCCCCAGTCTAGGGTGCCCCCCACATGGTCACGACCCCTTTAGCCTCTGGCTGCCCTCGAGCTCACTCCTCCAGCCCAAGGTCTCTCCCTACCCTTGGTGGAGGCCCCTTTCTGCGGGCCTGGGGACCAGGGCCTCATCCCTCCTGCCTCCTTGTGCACCTCGGGTGGGTCTCTTGGGCCCCTGCCCCATGGTGGAGGGAGAGGAGGGGGCTGCGGGCCTTCCTGCCCTCCCCTCTGGAACCCCTGGAGTTCTGCCCCCACGGCTCCTCCTGCCCCTGGGGAGGGTGGTTTGTGTGAAGGGAGAGCCAGGGAACAGGACCAGCAGCCCTGGGGGCCTTCTCTGCTCTAGGGCCTAGATGCTGAGGGAAGCTGCACCAGCATGTGCCCCAACGGCTGCTGAGCAGTGGTAAGACTTTTTACAACCAGTGTCTCTGATAAGGGCCCCATTTCTAAAATGTATAGAGAATTAAGTCACATTTATAAGAATGCAAGTCATTCACCAATTGATAAATGGTCAAAGGATATGAACAGGTAGTTTTCAGATGAAGAAATTAAAGCCATCTATAGTCATATGAAAAAATGCTCTAAATCACTATTAATTAGAGAAATGCAAATCAAAACAACTCTGAGGTACCACATCACACCTATCACATTGGTCAACATGACAAAACAGGAAGATGATAAATGTTGGAGAAGATGTGAGAAAATTGGAACACTAATGCATTGTTGGTGGAGTTGTGAAATGATCCAACCATTTTGGAGAACAATTTGGAACTATGCCCAAAGGGCTGCAAAAATATGCATACCCCAATTTGATCCAGCAATAGCACTTCTAGGGCTATATCCCAGAGAGATCAAACAAATGGAAAAAGGACCCACATGTACAAAAATATCCATAGCAGCTCTTTCTGTGGTGGCCAAGAACTGGAAATTGAGGGGATGCCCATCCACTGGGGAATGGCTGAGCAAGCTGTGGTATATGAATGTAATGGAATACTATTGTGCTATGAGAAATGATGAGCAGGCAGACTTCAAAAAAACCTGGAAAGACTTGTGTGGTCTGATGCTGAGTGAAGTGAGCAGAACCAGGAGAACACTGTACACAGTGACAGCCACGTTGTGCGATGACTAATATTGATAGACTTAACCCTTCTCAGCAATGCAGGGATCTAAGACATCTCCAAAGGCCTCATGATGGAAAATGCTATCCACATCCAGAGAAAGAACTATGGAGTTTGAATGCAGATCGAAGCATACGATTGGCTATTTTTTTTGTTCTGTTTTATTTTGTTTCCTCTTTCTGGTAGTTCCTCCATTGGTTCTAAATCTTCCTTACAACATGACTAATGTGAAAATATGTTTAATAGGAATGTATATGTAGAGCCTGTATCAGATTGTGCACAGTCATGGGGAGGGAAGAGGGGAGAGAGGGGGAGAAAAATTTAAAACTCAAAAGTTTTTGGAAGTGATTGTTGATAAATCAAAATAAATTAAAAAAGCAGTATAGAAGGAGAAGATAAGAAGTCCCAGGACAGCTTTAGGGGATACCCACAGTTAGTGAGCATGGTGTGGATGAAGCTCCAGCAAAGGAGACCTATATGAAAGTATTCAGAGATTCGTGATAAGTACTGATGCCAATGCTATTTATTAACATGTACACTCATTTTAATAATGTCAACCTAAAAGTTTGGTGAAAGAGGCAAACAGGCTCTGTGATATATAA